ATAATCTAATAAGTCCACATGGTGATATGTCGAGATTTGACTTTAGAATGAGGCAGGAACTTTCCACCTCTATAATGTCAAATAAGTAAATCTGCAACAAACCAGTCTTGCAGAAAGTCCCTGTCTGGGTTGCAGCTGTGACGTGTGACTTTTCTATACAGAAAGGAGAACTGGGGCAGATGAGGAAAATATTGCTTTATTGTCTTACTATTCACTCTTTTCTTTTGATGTATTTTTGTTGTTGGAGGAATATACTCCCATTTTCCTCACTGCTCATGATGTGTTTTTGTCATATATGATGATGTCTCCTGAGATAGCGTACTTCTACTTAACCCGTTATAATGTGTTTCTAACTAACTGCTCAAACCATAAGAGCATTGTGTGTGTGTTGGCTAGAGACAGGGGGGTTCCAACAGGGGGGTCGCGGCCCACAAGGGAATTTTATCCCCTAGCTCAACCACTGGTCTGTGGATCAATTGGTACCGGGCCGCACAAGAAATCATTATTTATTTTCGTCTTATTTTTTAACTGAGTCTGAACGATGTTTTATTTTGAAAAATGACCGTACTCTCTCTCTTTCGTCTCGGTCACTTGAGCACCACAATTTACAGTTTATTGTTTCCAATGGAGATGCGTGGCCTGTGCGCACAAGCAGCATGACACGCTCACAACAATGAACCCCAGGCCGTGACACGAGCGCGCCGTGAGTCATGTGGCAAGAATTGGCCTATCAGCTTCAGTTTGTATGGAATATTCAAATTTCGGTAAGACTAATTTTCTTGGACAAACACAGAACACAACCAACACTGCAGTGTTTTATATTTTTCTCCATAAATTTCTCCTTTTATCAGAGCGACAGCAATGTTTTGTCAGTTTGTCATCCTCTGAGAAAACATCTGATGGTTGCATAGCAACCTACAAAACACCCACTGCCCTAGCTGACCAAAAATGGACTAATTTGTAATCCGTCCTCCACAAAAAGACAGTCTCACTGATTCGCCTCGCAGCAATCCTCACATTGATTGATAAAGTATAACAAACACCATGCACGTAGTAAATGTAATAGCCTATATTATTTTTCCACTTATAAACCAGTGTGAACACTGATATTTCTGTTATTGATTTTCAAATAGGGCCAATTGAAAGGCCAAAGGCTTGTGTTTTTCAGTTACAAATGGCCTACTGATGTTTTGCTCTATATTTTACTTTAAGCTTTTATTCATTCATTTTCTTTTCAGCTTAGTCCCTTTATTATTCCGGGGTCGCCACAGCGGAATGAACCACCAACTTGTCCAGCATATGTTTTATGCAGCGGATGCTTTTCCAGCTGCAACCCATCTCTGGGAAACATTAGGCTACTGTTTGTGCATAACTAGATATAGTAATAAGCATACCGTTTGTTTGAAATCTATTTGTTTTGTCATCATTACTGCAAACTTATATGAGTGATTATATCATTAAATGCGGAGGAGGGTCTTACAATATTTTCAGGGGAAAAGGGGGTCTCAGGCAAGAAAAAGTTGGGAACCATTGCCTAGATGGGTGTGTAGTCAGTAGGGAAGAGAAATGATGAACTTACAAAGAACAAAAACAATTCATTTATGTATTATATATCTGCCGGACGTAGGAACTTTAATTTCGGCGTTTGTTTAAGTGGGACCGCAATCAGTGTTGCGCGCTCTTTTCACGGAGGCTGTTTCTCAATTACAAGACAGCAGAAAACGGACTTGTGTTATTGTGGAGAGCGGTCTTGCCAGGTGTTCTCGGAAGAACCAACTCAGGAGATCGTGAGGGCAGAGAACGCATCCTGTGAGAAATGGGATGCTGCGTTCTTCCTGATGGTCACATGACCTTCACGTGTTTTAAATGGTAAATTATTTAAACATTACAGCATTCATACAACCATTTATTATTTTTCCCCTTTTCAAAATATATACTCTGCATAAAAACATTAAATATACTCTGCACAATATAAATCAAACATTTTAATACAAATTTCAGCAAACAAACACCCTTAATGTGTTTATTCCTTTATTAAGATGTTCATGGTAATGTTTACCTTCACTGTTTCATTTAGGGAAACTCCTGAGGTAAATAAGTCATATCTCTGAACTTTAATAATAAATCTAGATAAATGCTGCGCTTTCCACCTCCAGTCGCAATGACTTCTGGGACTTCCAGAGCGAGTTCGCTGCTCAAGTCTGCATCGGTGCGTCCTCGATATCAAGATCACATCCGGGAAGTTTCACGCGTCCTCCGTACTTGCGGTCTTGAGTATTGGAACTGAACTTAGGCAGCTGATCATGATGTTGCACGAGGACGCAAGACCGCTGAAGAACGCATATTGAGAAACAGTCGGAGAGTGCGGGAGAGTTGCGTCCGCCTCAGTCCGAGTTTAGATGCTGACGAGGCAAGACGTGTGAACGTTTCTCCTCCACTTGTGTGTGAGAGAAGAGGAAAGCGTGGAGAGAGTTTCTTTCTGATGGAGTGTCCCATGTATTTTAGGGATCAATAAAAAGAAGACGTGAAGCTATCCTGCTGTGTCCAGTGTGATTTATTACTATGTACAGATTGGGATCTGCTCCTGGTGCATACACAGGTCAAGAGTTCAGACAGGGCTAGGAGGAAAAGCAGATGTGGGTAGATGCATCACTCAGAACTGCTGTGTGTATGTGTCTCTGTGTGCAGACTTTTGAGAGATGATTCTGCCTGAGAACAGCTGATGGCAACAACAGAGATTGGGGTTAACTGCTCTCAGTGGACAGAGCCATAACATAGCTGTGTAGCTCTTTACTGTACGCAGTGTACGAGCGACCACTGACATACCTTGGCGCTAGAATGACTGTTCTTATCGAGCTGGCCTGACCGCTGTCAAAAACTGCTCTTTTCAACTTCTCCGTCATCATTTGTTTTACCTTTGCAGGGAGGGTTTTTAATGTTGTAACAAACGATTGGATTACTTTCTTGCGCTAATTGAAATGCATCACATGACTATTCATTTACTGGGCAAGCCAAGCCCGACCCGGCTCCGTCTAAAATGATAGAAATTAAACCCGAACTCTTCAGGTCCTGGCAAAGATCTTCAGCCTCATCAGCATACATCGTCAGAGTCCTTTTCTGGTTTTGATAATATTTTCTGATTCTTTCCAACACCATATCCAACAGATGATCTGTTGAGTTTCCGGGTCTCTGAGATGTTGCCTCCCTCGTGTTCAATTTAAAAGACGATGCGTTGGTCTGCGTTGAAACAAAATCCACTGAAGACTCTGTCTCTACAACTGATTCGTTGGCTCCTACCTCATGATCTTTGAAGCAATGCGTGTCTGTAGGCAGTGACGAAGTTGCTTCAAGTTAAGCTTCATCATTTATACAGGAAAAAACAGACAAATACTTACAAATTGTTTCCAGGATCATCTCCAATTCATTCATTTTCTTGTTGGCTTAATCCCTTTATTAATCCGGGGTCACCACAGCTGAATGAACCGCCAACTTATCCAGCACGTTTTTACGCAGCGGATGTGGATCCGCAAACGCAGGGAGAACATGTAAACTCCACACAGAAACACTAACTGAGCTCAAACACTTGATTGGAGCTCAAAAGAAAAATGTAAATGAATTTAGAAAAAGGCTTGATAAGTTAAATGTAATTAACATTAAAAAATAGTAGACCTACCTTTAAACTTAATAAATTCACCAGTGTTAAAGAAGGATTAGAAGTGTTTAAAGTCGAAGACAAAAAGCCCTTTGAAAAACTAAAAACATGTCCAATTTAAGGAAGCTGATTTGGAGGTCGTCTTTCTAGTTTTAAAAATAGTAGGGGGTGATGACTGCAAATTCTGATAATAAGTAGTTAAATACACTATATGATGCAAAACTGACATTTATATATATATATATATCATACATAAATGTACGATACATATTTACTTTTACAAACAGTAATTTAATTTTCATTAACATATCAGATATTAGTTTAATTCTTTTTTTGAATGTGTGTGTGTGTGTTAGTGTGTTTACATATGCAAGCGTGTTTTCAACAACATATTAATTCTTTTTTATTTTTAACAATATCATTAATTTTTTTATTAAACAAAAAGTGTGAACAAAAGTCAAAAAGTGTGTTACAGTAATCAGACAAAAGGTTCTCTGGGGAGGGGGCTTTAACAGAAACGGATTGTAAATACCAACCCTCATAACTGGGGCAATTTGGATGTACGTGTGTGTGTTGCGTTGGCAGATGTGTTTGTCTGTGTGTGTGTCTCTTTCTTTTCCTCTCTTTACACCTGCAGGCACTGCCCCAGTTACACAGGCGATGAGCCCTGGGATTGGAGGAGGTTACGGTTTTGGACGCAGCCCCTGATCTCTGAGGACTTGCTGTTGTGTCATCCTCAGCAACTCTTTGACTCTTTGTCCAGTATTAAGATTTCTGCTGATGGTGCAATACAATCCCAGAAAACGGTGAATGTTTTTGCAGATGAAAACCGTGTGTAACTTGTGGCAAGAGGACTCTGGGAAATGAAGGTTTAACTCAAGCATCTCATTCTTTGCTGATATCTTCAGCTTCTTTCTGTAGCTCCTCAGTTCGTGCATCAGCTTCATCAAGTGCAGCTTTATAAGTTTAAACAAAAAATAGTTGGCAACAGTACACTTCATTTCAAGCAATATATTATAAGTTAACAAAAATGACAAAGTTAAATTTGGGTAAGGTAAAGGTAAAATGAAGAAGTTGTATTTTTTAACCCCTCTGTGCTCTTAAAGTTCTGTATGTTGTTTATCCTAAGGCTGAGAAATGACCCACCTTCACCAAATCTCTACAATAAAATAAATGGGACAAAGAAGCGACCTCATCCTTCATCACAAACTCTTAATGTCTTGGTTTTTTCTTAATGTTTATCAATGGGCAACACTAGTAACTGTAGTTCTTGTGCTTTTAAAAATAGTTCTATAGCTGCTGGGTCTAAATTAATCATTTAACTAATCATATTTAGTTTCGCTTGTTTTTAAGTGCTGCCCCTTTAAGAGTTTACGCACACACAAACGCGGGGAGAGCAGTGCACGTCGGATACAGAGAGCGCAGTCACACACAGTCACACACACAGAGAAAGTGGATAATACTGTTAGGGAGAGGACGTTTACAGTTTTGTGTCAACTTGTGAGAATGTAGTAGATGCTTGTGGGGTGATTTTGCTTATCTGATGGCTTAATGTGCTGCTCATGCGATCTTTGAGGAAGGGGGATTCAGACCACGCTAGTGGAGATGGAGCAGGGGAGAGAAGCAGATCAGGTCACACAGGTGCTAATCGCTACGAGTGCTTCAGAGGATCAAAACCAGTGAGTTCGCTCATTTTCTTTCATGGAGTGTAATTCTGCGTTTGCATGAAAGTTTTGTTCTCAGTGTAGAGTGTAGACTGATGTTTGGATCCTGGACACATTCGTTTGAGAATCATCATGTGTATGATGTGTTGTATGTAGGGAATGTGCTGATTGCTCATTTATTCTGTTTTCTGTTTGCTTTAATAGGTACAGATAAGCCACTGCCGTTGTTTTGCACACATTAAATCGTTTATTAATGAAGTTTTGCACTACTGTAAGTCGAATTGGCATTTTGAGTTGGATGTTTTGATTAGAGGCATTTACTGTAAAATAATTTATTCTTCCACAAATGAGATGAATATAAATAAAGATAAATATTTTCCATGGGAATTGCCTCAGCTGTTCTTTGTTGTTGTCTACATACACCCACGTGCTCAAATTGATACTATTGCGACTTCCTGATGCCTCCTATAAGTCGCTCGAGAGGCAGTGAGGGTCCTTTATATTTGTGACGCGCTGGTGGCTTTAGACAGAGACACTGAGCCCAAGATGTTATATGGAAAACTTTATGTAACTTGAAGCATGAAAAAACAATACAGCAATTTGTGTCTTTGAATACCTGTTTTGTATGGTGCCGATTATTGCGTTGGTGTGATGATTGTTGCGTGTGCCGTTGTGATACAGTTTTGCGTTGCTTGGTTTGCGCTGCTGTTTGCGGTCAACAAAAAATACAGCTACCCCACTCTCCTTCTCTCCTCCACCTGTGTGATTGTGCACGCGCTTTATATGTTCGAGCAGGTGCCAATTATGCCCACGTGACCAAAACATAAAACGTCACTGTGAAACCCAAACCAATCAGTATACAAATAAACATAATTAAATGAAAAGTAATATGGCTCCTATAGATACGGTGTTTAAAACTGTTGAAAGTGTTCTGGACGAACTGGATAATATATCCACAGATGCCCCTTAATTAATCCTAGGGGATTTTAATTATTGTTTTATGGACAAATATTTAAAGGGATATTACCAATATGTCGCATGCCCCACACGTGCTGATAAAGTCTTGGGCAGATGTTATGGGTCAGTTTTGGGAGCGTAAAGATCATTACCTCCTCTTGGTACTAGAGCTGCACAATTAATCGTTAAAAGATCGCAATCTCCTAGACGATCTTAATCCAGCATTTCTACAATTCTGCCAATCATATTTTCAAGTTCAGGAGAGAAGAAAAGGCGGCTGCGCGAGTCTGTTTATTGTTTCACATACGTTGCTCAGTGACATTGACACCTCCAAATGATGTTGAATGAGTCACATAATGTATTTATAAGTTATAATTCACCTAAAAATGTCATTTTTGTCTTCTTATAATGATGTTTTTGTGGCCAGGAGATCACACGTGACGAGCTGTTGTCCGTGAGCTGTTTTCACAAAGAGGGCGTGCGCTCTATTTAATGATAGACGCGCGCGCATCTACTTTAGTGAACAGAACCTGCATATGTTGCGAGTGACAGGTAATACAGTTGTAAATAATGTTCTGTTTGTGGCACAGAGTGATCATTTGGGAGCCGCGCGAAGTATGAACAAGCACTTAGCAGTCAAAATAAAACCGAAAGTGTGCACTTCATTTAAATAATCATGTCGCATTTTAGAATTACGATTGTGTCAATCATTTGATGTTTTTTTCTCTCATAGTGAACTCACAGTTGTGCATGAAAATAAATGTTTACAATGTCAGTTTAACTACTCTAGCCTATATATTGTTGTTGAATATAATCTGATAATGGCAAATGTCTGATTTTTAATGACAGATTGCAAGCATGTCTCAAACATAATTCAACATCATAATTATTATAAGTAGAATAGAATTATTTATAGAAACCAGTAGACCACATAATATTATTATCAATGTTGTGCCGTATGTTTGTTTTTACCACACCTTTATTTTACATCTACAGAATCGTGAGAAAATCCTGATCTTTATTTTAAGCAAAAAAATCGCGATTCTCATTTTAGCCAGAATCGTGCAGTTCCTCTCGGTACATCTGACCATAATATGGTTTTGCTGTCTTCTTTGTATGTTCCAATAGTTAAGCAAGTGAAGAGGAAAATACGGCTTGTTCAAGATGGACACCTTATTGAAGATTTAAGGGGTTGTTTGATTGCACCGATTGGAATATGTTCTTGAACACATGTCCCGATCTAAACGAGCAAGTTGTTTCTATCTCCAACTATATTACATCTGTGTTGATTCTGTTATACCAACAAAAAAGATTTCCCTGTATCCCAATAACAAACCATGGGTAACGAAAGAGTTAACAAGTAAACTGAAGAAGAAGAGAGTATTTCACTCTGGAACTAACGAGGAGAAAAACAGATTAACAAGGAAGTTAAAAAAGCAGTTAAGACAGCTAAAAATACATATAAAAATAAGATTGAAGGAGTTTTATGCAAGGCAAGCTGAAGGCGGCCTGGAAAGGCATTAAAAGTATGGCTGCAGTCACTACACAGGTAGCAAATCAATGTATGGCTAATGAGAGTGATACTGATTTATGTTTGGCTGACAAATACAATTCATTTTTTCTGGATTTGATGCAGTTTCAACTGATGATGCGATTGCATTATTTAAAGATAGCTTATGTATTACTGATCATTTTAAATTGAACCCATTTAACACCACAAAATAAGTCCCCTGGTCCTGATGGTATATGAGGTAGAACATGAAGTCACTGTGCTGAACAGGTAAGTGGAGTTCTCCATTCACTTTTCCAATCATCCTTAGATCTAGGGCAGGTACCTGAACTATGGAAGAGCTCAATTATTGTACAAATACCTAAAAAAGCTAAGTCAAAATCTTTAAATGATTAACGCCTATTGCCTTGACCTTCTTGATCATGAAGGCTCTTGAAAAGGAAATAAAAGGTTACATAATGACGGTTGCTGGACCCATTACGGTCTGCATATCGTGCCAAGAGAGGCGTAGAGGATGCAAAACAGTTTTCATTGAATGCTATTTGTCACCATTTGGATAAGAGTGGGGCTTTTGTGCGGCTGTTTGTAGGTTTCTCTTCTGCTTTTATTTGTTTGCAACCTATTATTTTAAGGGAGAAACTTATCACTCAGTTTAATTTTTACCATTGTATAGTCTTATGGATAATGAACTTTTTAACATGCAGGAAACAAAGTTAGGGTAAATTACTATCAGACATCATTAATATTTCCACAGGCTCTCCACAAGTCTGCGTACTTCCTCCTGTTCTTTTTATATTATTTACAAATGATTGTCAGAGAACACAGGAAAACAGGTACTTGGTTAAATATGCAGATGATCCGGTGCTTTTATCTTTGCTTTCTCACTCAGTCCAGGAATATGGGTCAGTCCTGCATGATTTTATCTCATGGTGTAATAAAATGAGACTAGACCTGAACGTGTCAAAAACCAAAGAAATGATTATCAACTTTGGCTAAAAAAACAAACACCTGCTCTACAAAGGGTGCTAATCAATGACACACAGCTAGAGGTTGTAGATGTGGAGGAATATAGGTACCTAGGAACAATTATTGACAACAGGTTGAAATTTGATCAAAATACACATACAGTTGTTAATAAGGCTCATCAAAGTCTGTTTTTATTGCGGAAACTCGACTCTTAATGTAGAGAAAGCTATTCTTAAGACCTTTTACAATTCATTTATTGAAAGTATTCTGTCCTTTACCTTTATTTGTTGGTTTTCTTCACTGTCTATAAAAAACAGGAATCGTCTTCAAGGCATCGCTAATTTGTGTTCAAAGATTTTGGGAGTTCCCCTGCGAAGTCTTGCATGCTATTACGGACAGCAGGTGTTGAGAATGGCACGTAAAATACTAAGAGACAGAACACATCCCCTAAATGAACATGTTGAGTGGATGCCCCTTGGTCGACGTCTAAGGACAATAAGATCTTCCACACATCGTTATGAATTTACTTTTGTGCCTGAAGCATTTAGGTTATGTAATAAATGTAGTTAATCGATGGACTGTTGTTTGTGTTTTGTACTTGCTGTTAAGTGTTGATGTTTATTGTGTTAAGTGTGTCATTCTTGTTATACTATATGTGAAACACCACCATGTCCAAATGAATTGCCCCCAGCGGATTAATAAAGTTTTAAACTAAACTAATAATAGTTTTGGATTTTTCATTAGTTTTAGTTTCTATTTAGTTTTGACTATTTGTTTTTAATTTCAGTTAGTTTTAATTAGTTTTAGAGGTAGATTTCTTAGTTTTTATAAGTTTGTATATTTTAAAATGTCTTAGTTTTGGTTTAGTTTTTATTAATTTCAGTATTTGTTTTATTTTTTTCTAAATTAGTTTATTTGTTAGGTGCAAGATTCAAAATCAACAGGATAAATACTGTATAATAAAAACTCAGTCATACTTTTTTTAACATTTATTCAGAGAACACCTGAACACTATCATCTACCACAACCCTGCTCAAAGTCACATACAGCAGCCCACAAGATAGCAGGGCCCGATTAACCTATGGGCATTATGGGTAGGGATGCACGATATATCGGTGCCCATATTGGTATCAGTCAATAAATGCGTTTTTGTAAGATTATCGTTATTGATCCGATGTCTAAATTCGGCCGATATCTTTAAGCTGATAATTCAGTAATTGTACAGATCTGCCTGCCGCGCTGGCGTGGGCGGAACATGTTCAGACTTGTCCAGTGCACTATAATGATCTCTCCTCACACTGATTATTCCTTCAAAGTCCGTCTTTTCTTCATGTGGTATTGCTGTGTGTTAATACCTCAGTAAGTAACCATGCTCCTCATCATTGTAGATGTGTTTGATTGAGTGTCATTGTGTATTTTGCTTCAAATCGCCTCAGGAAAAAAATATTACATGTGGAAACCTTTCCTGCTCCGTCTCTGTTATGTTAGAGATAGCAGGGAGATTGACTTATTACTCCAGGGCCGAATAATATCAGTTTCGTGGTGAATTGCCTTCTCTTTTAGTTGCAGCTGGTGAATGAACGAGGACACATGTAACTTGGTCCAAAATATTTATTACTTTCCGTGTGGTACAACATATCAGGCACCTAAAATAGTCTCATTGCCCAAAAACCGCTCCTCTCCCTCTCCGCTTCACACACACCCCAAACTGCAGCTGGACCTGCACATTTTACAACACGTGTAAACATAATCTGATTATTTGTTGTTATCAACGCGTTGCTTGTCATGTTGTTGATGTAAGATGTGTTTAGTTTAATCGGAATATTCATATTGATTATGGCGAGCGCGCGAGCTGTGACCGCGCACACACTGTAGCACGGGGGAGAGGTGAATCCAGTCATAGAGGCTCTCGACCAGCGGCTCATTCTGTCTTTATATTCAGCTTTGTGTTTGTCATAAAGTCAGCTCAATGCAGGTTTTGTATGAAAATCTGACTCTGATGGCGAGTGAAACTCTCAGCGGTTTATCATAAACTTTTCATCGATCATTTTCCCACGATTGACAGCAAGAACGAGCGCAGAAGTGTCTGATTGACAAGCAGCAGCTACATGTGTTCAAAAGAATCTAAAACGCCTAGTAGGATGAATCTGTGCTGCATTTTCTAAACGTACCATATGTATTTAGCTGTTTGCTTGTACGGTGGCTCTGAACAGTCAAAACACCTCTAAGAAGGCTTTTTCGGACATGACATATTTGTCCATGTGTACATCACTGT